GCTACAGTTTCCTCACCTTCAGATGAGAGCAGTGTTACTCCCTGCCTTGTGGGAAAGTCGTGAGTCTGTGTTTGTGGTACACAGAACGCCTCACTTGTGCTTGCCCCTGAGAGGGTGGGACTGAGAACCACAGCAGAACATCTCAGACTCACACACTGTCTTTGGGAATAAATAGCTTTAACGCAGTCCGCAGCGTATCCCAGAAGGATGCTTTCAGATGGAATGACATCCCTTGGAGAGATCGTAAACTTAACTGAGAGCAGCAAGGGGGCCACTCCGGGCTTGGGGGAACTCGCACACAGACCTCACACCCGGGACACACGGTGTGTGATACAGAGATTTATTTAGGTATCATATTTTAGTTGTGGTTTTTACGGTGAATTACAGAGCACCAAAAGTAAATACAGGTCTTTGTTGTGGATTTAAAAACATTTTGATCTTTTCTGAGATTCCTTTGCTCCACCCAGGACTAGCAAAGTGTGGCACAGTCTGTGTCCTCATGGTAACAGCACCCCTTAGATCCGACCTCTAAAGCAGCTTCCTCCGAAGGTGACCTTGTAGTGCAGGACAAATATTAAAAGTTCCCTCCTCCACTATTCCTACATGTCCTGAATGCCCTTTGTGTCTATGTGTCACACAACGCCCCCCAAGACCACGACTTTTAAGAATCTGGAAGCAAGGACACAGTCCTGCAGCTTTAAAAATCATCCAGGTTTTTCTTTCTACCACAAATGTGGTTCTCACGTAACAACCCTGATTCTGCCACAAGCATCGCAGTCGAGGCTGCTACTTCCAAAGCCACCGAGTGGGCAGAAGTAATTTCCTGCTGCTCTTCTCTCCCTTATCCAACTACGATGCTGCTCTCCAGTGCTGCACGGCATCTGTGACCTTGATTCACAGGTCAAAGAGCAGTCTGTTAATTCAAAAAGGAGTAACTTTAAAAGAAATATTGATACATTTCAAAATGGAGTTTGACCACCTAATTGCTAACAGCTCCTTTCCAAACATTCCTGTTTTGCTTATTTCCTGTCATTGGGTTTAGCGTCTGTCGGTGTTGTGCAGTTGTGCCCTTTATATGTGGTGCAGAGGCATTTACGGTGCGCTCACCGTTACCGGGCACTGTAGACCTCTCTCCTCGCAGACCGATGGGTGTAGCTGAGGGACGAGGCCCGATGACATAACACAGTTAGCCCAGGACGCTCTGAACAGATTCCCTCAGTTAATGAGGCCGCACCTGTGTTCTCAGGTGCTGTACTTGCTCAGAAAAACCTTTCTTTAAGATGAGCATTAGAGTTCAGTTCAGCTGAATGATGCAAGTTAGTAAGTCCTCCCTCTGTGCTTTTCCAGCATTCCTTAAAATACCTCTTATAATTATGTTGCACTCTGTAGAATTTCATGTTAGTTTTCCTCTGGGATCTTCTTACACCTCCTTAAACTACCTTCATGTTCAGGATGTAGTATATTGATGGGTACATCAGGGCCTGCAGTAAAGAAAAACCTTTGTTTAATGATGCTTTGTTACTTGCATAATAAACATGAATGTATTTGTATTTCATGTACTGTATGGCCTCTTCAAATCTGAATCGGGAAGCCAAGAAATGGTTGCAAGTCACTGATCTGTTTCTCACGTCCCCGCTGCTGTTCCCAGGACCACATTTCTGGGATTTCGTTTGTCCAGGCAGTTGTTCGGCACCCGCTCTGAGAAGAACTGGAGTCACACTCACACCATAGCGAGTTTTCCAGCAGGACCATTATCTCCACACTGGGAGGGTCTCACTTCCTCCATAAGGAAGGGCACTCTCCAAAAGGACAAGGACATTTTCAATTTCCATAGCCTGAAATTACGTTTATTTATAAAAGGGCATCCTAGACAATATTATGGGACTGGAAACAACTGGCCAGAGAGCCAAAACTTGTGGGAGCCCTGAAGAATTTTAAACCCACTTCTCTGCTAAATAGTAGAATTCTAAGAGGGCACATAAACTAAAAATTATAACTTGGAGATTTTGTAACTTTTTAGTTCACAGAAACTCGATCACAAGAGACCTTGGAACAATTTGTCTCTTTGTGACTGGGTCTTTTCCATGCTGAGGGTTCCTTCCCTTTGGATTTCTGAATCTGTCTGTGATACTTGAAGGAAAGAAATCCAGGAACCTAGTATTGTTGGTGAGAAACAAAGGACTGCCAAACCATATGGAAAAAGATGATGACGTTGGATACATGTTCATTGGACCGCTGCTCTCCACGCCCAGACTGGCTCGTGTTACGTGACAGTTGTGAATAGTGGTTATACGTAAACCTCCTGATACTAGGAGAGGTGAAAATGAAGAAAATCTATCACAAAAATAAATCATGCTTTTCCTAATCTCAGGGCACTGTAGTTATTGAAAACATGCAAACTATAGCAGCTAGACCTGAATAAAGTGAAGTCAGTCCTTGTTTTCCTCTGCTAATAGTGAGGAATCTTAGAAAATCTAAAACTTACTTTTTCGGGGTAGGAATTTGTTTTAGCTGCGTGTTAATCTTCCTAGTCATAGCTATTGTAAATTAACAATGTTTCTCATCTTCCTAACCTTGAGCAAAGAAAGACAAAGTATAATTCACAAGCAAATAGAAAACTACACAGAGCACCTTCTTTATAAAGAAACCTAATGTTTTTACACTTTTTGTAACAGTGAAAGGTGACACTCTTTTGCCAACATTTAGGAAATAGTTTTTAGTTTGTCAGTGAGCTTTAGGTAGAGTTGATAAAGCCAAGTCAATTGGTATTAAACATGTCAGCCCTCAGTGTCAAGTCCTTAAGGTTATACCAATTTGCAATTCTAAAATATCTGGTGGTGAATATGGTGATTATTCCTGTCACTCTACTGAGGAGTGTTTAACTGTTTTGCAAGAGTATTTATCAGGAACATTCAGAATGTCAGGATTTGATTTCTAGGAAAAACTGGAAATCTATATTATTTCAGCTCCTAAATCCCGCTGTACATGACCCAGGAGTCTCTAATACTCTATAACAATTGGAGCAAAGACCTGTACATTTCTTTTGCTAAGAACAGGAAGAAAGAGTCATATGTTAGCACCAGGAGGACAAGAGCACTGACACACTCTTAAATGTCTCATAGATGTGGAGTAAACATTTATTTTGCATAGGGCTGGGAAGACACTTTCAAGCTTGCTGGCCAAGTCTATTTTCCTCTGTAGTACGTGAAAGACAGGTTTAGCTATTTCAAATGAAGTAAATACATGGAATTCTTTTCCAAAATGTCTGTTGAAAAATCAAAAAGATTGGGGCTAATTTCTATCTTCAGAAGAACACATTAGAAAGATCAACATCTTCGTGCTCCCTCCAAGAAGAAATTAACATGCATTCGAGATGTTTGCAAACATTTTCTGCACAATCCAGACTATATCTTGGGCTCGAAGTCAGAAGAATCTCTGTCGCAGTCACTCCACTCAGCCTCTACTGCATGAAAGCATCTGTGGACAACAGCCATGTAAATAAATACGCCTGTGTTCCGGTAAAACTTATTTACATTCAGGCAGCTCGCCAAGTTAGGCCCGGTGCCAGTTTGCCAACCCCTGATTTAGGCAAGCCTGTATCTAAACAGTGGTAATATTTCTCATATTTATTAGTTTCCTATCCCTATTTTATATCCCATCACATACTGAAATATACATAAGCATGTACCCTCAGTAGTGAAAAACAGTTCTTCGGTTATCATGTGATATAACTTGTAATTAGGATGTTATGGTAAAGTGTATCCTCAGAAACTTGGTATTTATCCATGTAAGTGAAATTTTTTCCAGTATTGATAAACTTTTTGTTGTCTTCCTTTGTCAAAGATTATTTTCCTTTGCCTTATAGTAAGGACAATTAAACTTTTCTTATCTTTACAAGTAATCTTTTTAAACAAATTCTTAGGTGCACTTGCATTATCCAGGAATAAACATCCTATATCATTTGTCCTTGGTTTCATTTAAATGTTACACTTCCCAGTGTATATTCCTACCACACCCCCTTCTAATCAGCTGTCAGGGTCACTGTATGTCTGTCTTTGTAGTGACTCCCTTCTCCAAGTACACACTGCCTTCTCTCATGGACTGGTGCACAAAATCTATCTGCTCGCTAGGAAACTGAATTCTGACTAAAAGACTCAGATCCCACAGTTTCTAGAGTCAGGCAGCTATATTGTCCGCACAAATTCAGTTCGTTTTCTGGGGACCCAGACTTCACAGCAGCTATTTTCCGTGGGACTCGATAGCTTGGTTGTGTCTTATTTTAGAATGTGATTTCATAGCATTGTAGCTAATAAAATTTATAAATGAGGAGTCTACCTAGTGTATTAAGTATGTCTTTATTTTCTGAGTTATTTGGAAAAGTTTATGTGAGAAATTTTTTACTTATTTTTCCTGCATATTTTCTACTCTACACCCTGCTGATGTCTCAGTTCATCTTATACAGTTTAACACAACACCTCTCTGACTGACCACATAAGAATCATCTGCAGAGCATTTGCAAAATACCAGCCTAGGTCCCACCCTGGAGAGTTGTCTAATCAGTCTGTGGGACAGAGAACAGGCATTAGTTATTCCTTGTTTAATTTGTTTTTGTTTGTGTTTTTTGTATAGGGCTTCTATGTAATTCTGAAGTTTCAAGAGCTAACAACACTAGTTCATACATGCAATTCCTTTTAGATGTCTGTAAAAAGACTAAAGGAATAGTAGGTTACACTGATACAGTCCTCTTTCCATTTTGTGACACTGAGCTCTCACATATAATGAATGCACACATAGCCAAGGACTTTAACTTCCTGTTCTGTGAAAAACACCGTGAAAGTGTCATCTCTGGAGCTGTAGGGAAAGTAGTAAGACTTTAGCTTTCATCCTTGAGAGCCTTTAGTCTCCTTTCTTGGTGGACGATTGTGTCTTAAAATACTTTTTTTCCTGTTTTCTTTGGTCACTGAAGTTATGTGCGTGTTACTGTCTTTCTCTTGTCCTAGCACCAGAAGAATGGGCTGCCACCCGCTCCAGCTTGAAGGCGCCACCCCCGCGGTCGGCCAGAGGCGGGTACAGGGAGCACCCCTATGGTAGATATTGAAGGTTCTCCTCGCCTGTGACCTCACTGAGACAGTGCATAGCCTTGGTCTCCACATACACAGCAACGACACAAGTAATAGTCCTTTCGTTTGCCTTTTCTGTTCTAGGGGTAGCTACCCGTGAGCCCCCATGTATTTCTTGTATTGCCTTCTATGCTGTTGGTGACATTGATGCTAGGGTTATTTTAAAAAACAGACTGAGGGAGACATTGACAAGCATAGTTTACAAACATTCAGTAGGATGATATTCTCTTGGTTGTTCTTCACTGTTGTGTGTAATCTTTTTTCTTTTGCTTTCTTTCTTTTTTTTAAGAAAGAGCATGAATCTGTTATCAGATTTTGAGTCTCAACCAATTAGCAGAAACTATGTTTAGGGTTGCTAAAGCCTGTTATATGATTTTTGAACTAGCTGATAATAAAGTTGTAGATAAGATGTTTTAACTTGTCTTTTAATATCTGTTAGTTAGATGAAGATGTTCAATATTAAGTTTGTAAATTTAATTTTAAATGCTGTTTTAATGGGGTTGAAAACAAGCGGCTACTGTATGTACGTAGCTAACTGAATTTGTTCAGTGTTTTAACCTGTATTTGTTAAAAAAGAAAAAAAACACACATAAAGTTCCATGTGTAAGCTTCTCTAAATAGGAAACCACAATTTGTCAAATATGTTTGCCATAATTTGTCAATAAAGCTGAAAACTTTTGTAAAAACTAAATTTGGAATTACTTGTTTTCTAGCTTTAAATGCTTGCTTTATTTCTTCTTCAAGAGATGCCTAAAATGTTTTCTATTTAAAAATTACAAAAATGAACCCAAGCCTGTTTTAAGCTATTTGTGTAATACTTTAAAATGTATTAATAACTTATGGTTGTTAAATAATTTAAAAGTTAACAAACTAAACTGTTACGTGAGTCATGGTTAGTAAACACTAATGTATAACATGTTAATGGAAAAGCTGGATTTAGAATAATAAATGGATTTTAAACTATCCTCTAAGCTTTATCTTGCTAAACACCAATTCTGATTGACTTGTTTGCATTAGCATGTCTCTCGTGAGAAAGAGTAATGGAGTATAAAGAGGTAAGATTACCGCTTACCCCTGTCTAAATGCCAGTTCTTCAACCTTCGAGTTTTCCCCGCACATCAAATACCCCATCCAACATGTGCGCATTGCATAGACTCACTTGGCTGTGTTCACTCAAAGGAGTGTGTGGACTTCATTTCTGTAGCTGATAACAATTTGTTTTGACAAACAAATCATCAGTGTCACCGGCCAGTTGTTGCGATTCAACCTCAAAAACTTTATTTGTAATTTTCAGTGCTAAATATCACCGCCCTTGAAGGCAGTGTAGAGGCTGATATTTCTTTTGAGACTGTCAGACTTGATGGCTGGTGATTGTTAAGGAAATATGTCGCAGGATTCACAGGATGACTAAACGTTAAAGGTAACCCTAACCTAACTCTGTAATTTTGCCTATGCAAGAGTAATGTTAAATATTCTCAGTTATTAAGTTCCTGATAGTTAAAAAAGTAAACCTACAAAAACCATAACAAATAGGTCTGTAGGCTATTAAAACAGCTAATTAACATTAACTAGAGGCACCAAAATTATTTTACAATATATAACCCTCAAGGCAATAAACAGAACTAAAATTAACAATAATAGTAATGCAACTCTTGCTAACATCAAACGTAAGCTCAATTTTGATGGAAAAAAGAAAGCGAAAGACTTGATGGTAGGGATGATACCAAAACTGTTAATTTTTTAAATATAGTTTTTTTGTTCATGGTGGCTTTTTGTCAATGTGATTGGTTTACTTTTTTTGCTGCTAACCAGCTTAGGCGTATTGCCGCGCAGTTTTTGCAGCTGGAGTTGCATGCTAATAGTTTTATGAAAGTGTGTGTTTGTCATCAATTGAAATTGTAAATATTTGCCTCGCACAAAATGCTGTTGAGTTATATTTAATTTTATTCTATTGTTTCTCACTATTTCAGGTACGCACAAGCAAGCAACACATAACGGAGTAGCAGATGCTATGGACTAAGAAGGAAAGAGGTAAGGTTGTTTTTTGTCTTCTTTGAGTTAGACGATCTTTAATAACATGAAAATGTGATACCATGCAAAGCTAAAGCAGTGGGCTAAGACACTGAATGCTGCTTGTTGAAATCTGAAAAGGATTAGATTGTTGTCGAGGAATGGAGTCATTTTTATCTTTGCAATAAAGATCTGATCTGGTATTTACTGGCAAAGCTTTCTGAATTTATTCAAAAGCTTGTCAAATGGAACAAGAACTTGTAGTTAATCTTTATCCCCTTTCTTTGCTCTGAACAACTGCCCCTGACAAGGTACTACTCTCCTTAATTGCGCTAAACGTATCAGTGCTTTTACTCTGCAGTCTGAGAATGGAGTCAGATCCCTGACTAAGATAAAGCGGGGAAAACTGCATAGCGTCCAGCCCGAGCCTGCGTCCTGTCCATGGGAGTCGCACAAAGTACGAACCTTCCATTGTCTTCTCGCTCACCCCCCATGGCTCAGCAAGCTCATCTGTCTCATCTGCCAGTCTGCTTTGTTTAATTCATGTTTGGTGCATTTTAGGTGTACAATATAATGATGTTCATCATTGGAAATTTGCACCTTTACGTGATCCATCTTGGTTCTTATTTTGAGCAGGTGAATGGGGAAAAAAATTTTTTTCAAGTGCCATTCTGTTTAACTAATAGTTCCAGAGTACCGAGTACTGGTGGAAATTTAGGCTTGCTTTCGGTGCACAGGAGCTGAAAGTGCTAGCCGGTAAGCTTCGGCTGAAAGCCTCACAAGACAGCTCTCCAGGGCACAGGCTGGGCTCACAGGAGATAGGGCGCCGGCCATGATGTCCGAAGGGAGGAAAAAGGAGCTGACCTTCCGACTGGCTGCTTTGCTACAGGGACATCTGTCACTCAGGCCAGCCTTGGGGAGGAGCTGCAACACACAGAGCGGCCTGAATTGCTAGGACCGGAAGGACAGAGCCGGACGGAGCCATCGAGGTGGGCAGGGAGAAGGAGGGCAGAACCTGATGCTGAGGACCGCCCGCAGCTTCTGGGCCCGGGAGGGCTCCGTCCTTGGGTTCGGGAGCCTGGAGAGGGGAGCGTCAGAGCCGGAACCGTGAGGATCTCAAGCTAGGCCTGCCTCCTCCCCCAGTAGCTGAGCCAGTCACTATCTTATTTAACATCAGAGATCCAAAGTTTCGGGAATTCTGAAAGTTTATTTTCCAGTAACATCCTCAGTCTGATTCGATCACTTTAAGCTGCTGTTTTTATAAAGTGAAAGGAGAAAGCATTCTAAGCCTGATGTCCTGCTTTTCTCCTTGTCCTTTTCAACCAATAGGCTTGATTTACTAGGCGAGGCAGGAAGGCCCAGCTCTGTAACTGTTCCCTGTTTTAGTCCGTGTGGTGGAGTTGATTCGCTGTAGTCATTGGATCCTGCCGTCTTGCGGCTCCGGGGCTCTCTCACCGTGGTGAGATCTGGGCCTGCAGTAACTGGAGGCAAAAACACCAGTGCTCAACAAGAGCAAAAGCTGTTTAAAGCTCACAAACAAAGACCTGCAAGAGAGGACTTTGAGGCTCAGAAGCGCGCATTTTGAGGCACGGAGCCTGGTGCAGGCGGAACAAAAAGCTTGCATGTTAAGCAGCAGACTCCGAAGGCGCCTGTGCGCCTGTATCCACGCCGCGGGAACCGCGATTGTCAAGGCAGAGAGGAGAGCCAGGGGAACCAGGTTGGGGTGAGGGGGCGGCGCTGCAGGCCTGGGCACCCGCAGGCCCTGTCTGAAGGGCTGGGCGGAGCAGGGCCGA